TATTGGCCAGGCTGGTCTCCTGACCTTGTGATCTGCCCACCTCAGGCTCCCAAAGTGTTGGGATTACAGGCGTGAGCCACCACGCCTGGCCTTATTTTTTACTTTTTAGAAAGCAACTTTGATTGAAGTGGCAGTGCAAGGGGGCAGCACAGGTGCCCCTCCTTGTGGAGCAGGGCTACCCCACAGGCAATGTACCCCGAGCAGCAGCTCAGAGGCAGTTCTGCAATCACATTTTTTTTTTTGAGATGGAGTTTCGCTCTTGTTACCCAGGCTGGAGTGCAATGGCGCGATCTCGGCTCACCGCAACCTCCGCCTCCTGGGTTCAGGCAATTCTCCTGCCTCAGCCTCCTGAGTAGCTGGGATTACAGGCACGAGCCACCATGCCCAGCTAATTTTTTGTATTTTTAGTAGAGACGGGGTTTCACCATGTCGACCAGGATGGTCGCGAACTCTCGACCTCGTGATCCACACGCCTCGGCCTCCCAAAGTGCTGGGATTACAGGCTTGAGCCACTGTGCCCGGCTATACCCACTTTTAATTACATGCAAATTAAGGGATCAATTACCCAGCAATTTCTAGGAAAAAAGTAGTAACTTCTGGGTGGTCTGGTCATTGACATGGAAAGGGGTGGTAACTTCTAGGTGTTGCCATGGCAATGGTAAACTGACATGCACTGGTCTTATTCTCATTTTGTATTTTTTTTTTTTTTTGAGATGGAGTCTCGCTCTGTCACTCAGGCTGGAGTGCAGTGGTGTGATCTCAGCTAACCGCAATCTCCCCTTCCCGGGTTCAAGCAATTCTCTGTCTCACCCTCCCGAGTAGCTGGAATTACAGGCGCCTGCCACCGTGTCCAGCTAATTTTTCTTTATTTTTAGTAGAGATGGGGTTTTGCCATGTTGGTCAGGCTGGTCTTGAACTCCTGACCTCATGATACACCCACCTTGGCCTCCCAAAGTGCTGAGATTACAGGCGTGAGCAACCATGCCCGGCCCAATTTTTGTATTTTTAATAGAGACAGTGTTTCACCATGTTGTCCAGGCTGGTCTCAAATTCCTAGCCTCAAGTGACCCACCTGCCTCAGCCTCCCAAAGTGCTAGGATTACAGGTGTGAGCCATAATGCCCAGCATTCCTTGTTTTAGCTAGTCCTCAATCTGGTCTGGTGTCTGTGCCCCACCTCCAGGGTGGAGTCCTACCACCTACTCCATGGCCCGCTGAGATTAGATACTCCTTCTTAATCTTAATGGTGCAGCTGAAAGGCAGAGATCCATCTTCTGTAACTGCTTCCCTGTTGGGTTTATGGGCATAGCCCCTGCCAAGCGCTGGAGCAGTAAAAATCTCCAGATACCTTATCTAAGGGTCCAAAAGGCAGGATGCTTTCATTCTCCAGGTCAGTAGATGGATGGGTCGGAAGCCTTGTGCCAGCATCTTTAAGTGGTAATTCCACATACCAACTTTCCCAAAGTAACCTGGGTGGTATTTGCCAATGTTGATCCTGTGGTGATGCATACCGCCAGCATTCCCGAGGCTGGTGTTTACCTGAAACTGTTGTAAACTAGAAGACACACGCTTTACTAGGAGGCTAAACAAGCAAAGGCCAATAATTAGAAATAACAAGACAGCTATCCAAAGTCCTAGGAGAGGTAAAAACCAAGTGAGACTCCGGGAGGCACTTTTGATAGTCGACCATATATAGTTGGGGTCGGTGCCCTGGTTATATCTATGTAGCCAAGTAGCTTGCTCATAGATCTTTTGACTGTTAACCTGAACTGTTTAGAGCTGGTAATATACATGCAGCAGGTTTTGTTAATAACTGCACAGACTTCACCTTGTTCAGTTAGTAAATAATCTAATGTGAATCTGTTATTGAGAACTATATTTGCCAATGAGTCTAGGAATTCTTGAATTCCCTTTAATGCCTGACCCATGTTGGTGACTAAGGATTCTAGGGTTTGAGTTGAGTGCTTTGCGGTTGATTCGTGGTAAGCAAAGCTACCCTAGGGTGCCGCTCATCCCATTGCTGCCCTGATTCCTGCCCAAATCAACCCTATTGCTCACTTACTTCTGGTGTTCTTGGGTTTTATTTTATTTTATTTTATTTTATTTTATTTATTTTTTTTTTTTTGAGACGGAGTTTCGCTCTTGTTACCCAGGCTGGAGTGCAATGGCGCGATCTCGGCTCACTGCAACCTCCGCCTCCTGGGCTCAGGCAATTCTCCTGCCTCAGCCTCCTGAGTAGCTGGGATTACAGGCACGCGCCACCACGCCCAGCTAGTTTTTTGTATTTTTTAGTAGAGACGGGGTTTCACCATGTTGACCAGGATGGTCTTGATCTCTCAACCTCGTGATCCACCCGCCTCGGCCTCCCAAAGTGCTGGGATTACAGGCTTGAGCCACCGCGCCCGGCCTATTTTATTTTATTTTATTTTTTTGAGACGGAGTTTCGCTCTTGTTACCCAGGCTGGAGTACAATGGCGCGATCTCGGCTCACTGCAACCTCCGCCTCCCGGGTTCAGGCAATTCTCCTGCCTCAGCCTCCTGAGTAGCTGGGATTACAGGCACGTGCCACCATGCCCAGCTAATTTTTTGTATTTTTAGTAGAGACGGGGTTTCACCATGTTGACCGGGATGGTCTCGATCTCTCGACCTCGTGATCCACCCGCCTCGGCCTCCCAAAGTGCTGGGATTACAGGCTTGAGCCACTGCGCCCGGCCGTTCTTGGGTTTTAATGGGGTTACAGACTGTGACCTCTGGAGGGGCAAGGGTAGCTATTGTACATTCGCCTCTGTTCCAAGTTGTTTGTTTGCTTGTTTTGAGAGAAAGTTTCAAAAATATTAGCCGGGTGTGGTGGTGGGTGCCTGTGGTTCCAGCTACTTGGGAGGCTGAGGCAGAGGTTGCAGTGAGCCAAGATTGTCCCACTGCACTCCAGCCTGGGTGACAGAGCAAGACTCCATCTCCACTAAAAAAAAATTGTTTTAATTTTTGTTAGTTTTCTTTTTTTTAAAGATAAAGTTTTGCTCTTTGTTGCCCAGGCTGGAGTGCAGTGGCTCGATCTCAGCTCACTGCAACCTCCGCCTCCTGTGTTCAAGCGATTCTTCTGTCTCAGCCTCCTGAGTAGTTGAGATTACAGGCACCTGCCACCACAACCAGGTAATTTTTGTGTTTTTAGTAGAGACAGGGTTTCACCAAGTTGGCCAGGCTGGTCTTGAACTCCTGACCTCAGGTGATCTGCCCGCCTTGGCCTCCCAAAGTGCCGGGATTAAGGTGTGAGCCACCCAACCTGGCCCCTTATTTTTTATCCCTGTAACATTGCTGAACTCTGGGTTTGTTTTTTTGTTTGGTTGGTTTTGTTTCGGTTTTTGAGATAGGGTCTCACTCTGTCGCCCAGGGTGGAGTGCAGTGGTCTGATCATGGCTCACTGCAGCTTCAGCCTCATGGGCTCAAGGGATCCTCCGGCCTCAGCCTCTTTAGTAGCTGAGACTACAGGCATGTGCCACCATGCCCAGCTAATTTCCTTGCTTTTTTTCTTTTTGTAAAGACAAGGTCTTGCTATCTTGGCTAAGTTGTTACTCCTGGGCTCAAGTGATCCTCCTGCCTCAATCTCCCAAAGTGCTGAAGTTCTAGGCAGGGCTTGTAATATTTGCTGAACCATTGATAGAGAGCATCCTTGTCTTGTTCCTGATCTTGAAGAAAATGTGGATACTGATTCCACCGTACTTAACTGTATATAGCTTTCATCAACCTGAGAAAATTCCTCTTTGTTCCTAACTCTTGTTTTTAATCATAGTCATAGAAGTTAATAAAATGTTTTTTTCTGCATATTTTGAGATAACCATAGGCATTTTCTCCTTTAGCCCACCGATGTGAATTACAGTAATAGATGCCTATAATGTTGAACCATTCTGACATTCTTGGAATAAACTCTACTTGATCGTCATGAATTTTTTTTGAAAACAAAAAAACAAAAAAAAAACCCATTCTTAATTGTGGTAAAATACACATAAAATTTACCATCTTAACCATTTTGAAGTGTATGCTCAGTGGCGTTAAGTATAAGCACACTGTTATGCAACCAATTTCCAGAACATTTTCATCTTTCAAAACGGAAACTCTAGACTCATCAAAGAACAGCTCTCCATTTCCCCCTCCCCCAGCCCTTGGCAACCACCATTCTGCTTTCTGTCTTTATGAATCTGACTACTCTAGGTACCTTGCATAAGAGGAATAATACAGTATTTTTCTGTATGTGGCTGATATTTCACTTAGAATATTGATTTTTTTTTTTTTTTTTTTTTTTTTTGAGATGGGGGTCTCACTTCAGCACCCAGGCTGGAGTGTAGTGACAGAATCTCGGCTCACTACAACCTCCATCTCCCAGCCTCGAGGGATCCTCCAGCCTCAGCCTCCTGAGTAGCTGGGACCACATGCATGCACCACCACACCACCTAATTTTTTGTATTTTTGGTAAAGATGATATTTCTCCATGTTGTCCTGGCTGGTCTTGAACGTGTGAGCTCAAGAGAATCCACCCACCTTGGCCTCCCAAAGTGCTCGGGTTAGAGGCATGAGCCACCGCACCTGGCCCATGCTGATGCATTTTTACATGACATTAGTGAATTCAATTCGCCTAGTATTTTATTTAGAGTGTTTCATATAGGCCAGGCATGGTGGCTCACGACTGTAATCCCAACACTTTGGGAGGCCGAGATGCGTGGATCTCCTGAGGTTAAGAGTTTGACACCAGCCTGGCCAACAAGGCCAAACCCCGTCTCTACTAAAAATACAAAAATTAGCTGGGCGTGATGGTGCGCACCTGTAATCCCAGCTACTAGGGAGGCTGAGGCAGGAGAATTGCTTGAACCCACGGGGCGGAGGTTGCAATGAGCCAAAATCACGCCACTGCACTCCAGCCTGAGCAGCAGAGTGACCCCGTCTCAAAAAAAAAAAAAAAAAAAGCCGGAAGAAAATACGCAAAAATCACAACGCTTTGAGGGTGTGGCTTACGAGTGGAGTTATTTTTTAAGTTTTCCTAACTCTGCAATGCTGTTATATTACATCCATAACTTCAAACGAAGTGCCACACGGCCGCAGTCCCAATCAATTCAAAGACACAAGTGCTGGGGACATCCTCCTCCCGCCCGGCCAGCGGACCCCGGCCCCGCCTCCTTGACCGGCTCGGGTCCCGCCCCGAGACATTCCCAGGCCCAGTCCCCAGGCGCGCAGAGAACCAATCACCATCCGTTTTCACGCTCAGTCCTTTTTGGCTTCTGCCCTCAACCAAAATGGCGCTAGCCCGGATGTTGCCGAGGCTCTAGGAGTTGCCGAAGCAAGTCCGGAAGCCACCGAGCGAGTCCGGAAGTTGCCGAAAGGGAGCAGCGGCGAAGGAGGATGGCGGATATCATCGCAAGACTCCGGGAGGACGGGATCCAAAAACGTGTGATACAGGAAGGCCGAGGAGACCTCCCCGACTTTCAGGATGGGACCAAGGTTCGTGTCTACCCCTCCCCTCTCCCCTCTGCGGCGTGGTGCGCATGCGAGGCGGGAGGAGGCCTTAGGCGAGAGGTTGCGCATGCCCAGAGGACACCCTCAGTGACCCTACCGCTCACATGCGGAGCTCGACGCTGATTGGTCTGAATTTAAGTAGGGGGTGAATTCGGGCCTGTCTGCCCCGCCCCCTGGCCCGGCGTTGCAGCAGCATTAGTAGAGGAGGCCGTCAGTCATCACAAGCGGCTTGGGATTGGGGGTTGATCTCAGTGCTTGGGCAGACCCCACGGCAGAGGAAAGCCAGGGAGAGGAGTGGTCCTGGGGTATCTGGGTTTCAAGGCTTAATGATCCTTTGTAGATGGAAGGGCCTTCCAAAAACACTTAGACCAACTGCCACTATTTAGAATGGAAAACTGAGGCCCTGGGACATGCAAAGCCAGAGAACGGGTCCAGAGGTCAGGTCTCCCAGACAGGGACCCTTTGGCAGCCTTCCTACAGCGTTAGTGGCTTGTTTGGCCCAGATGAGGGCTGGGAAGTAAAGAGCCTCCCACTTTCCTCTTTTTTACAACCAGGCCCGCAGATCCAGCCCCTCTGGTCCCTTCCCCCGACAACCTGCAACTCTAGGCTTCCCTGCTTCTCCTGCGGTTGACCCCTCCCGGGGGAGTGCCTTTCCCAGCTGCCATTTGTCTGCAGAGAAGGGACCTTCCCAGGGGCAGCCCCTGTGCGCAGCAGAGCAGTCAGGCAGGACATGCGCATGCCCCCGGGCCAGCGCTGTGCTGAATCGGGCAGCTAAGCATCCTAGCCCAGTGCAGTGGAAGTGCTCTGAGAGCAGAGGGCGTTGCATGGCTGGAGCGAGCCACTGTATGAAAAGAGATCTCTAAGAAGAGACGGGATGTATGGTGTGGGTTCATGCCCCCAAGGACTGGGGGATTGGTGGTGTTGGAAGAAGGACCTGGCCATGGAGGTCCTGGATGGAACAGACACCAGAAGGAGAGATGTGAACAAATGGCACCCCAAGATCAGGAACAGGTGGTGTTAAATAACCAGGTGTCAGCACTGTGTGAGCACCGTGCTACTTGCTTCACAAGTCTGTTTCTTTCCCACAGTGTGAGATAGGTACTGTGTGGATTCCATTTTCCTGATGTCGAAACTGAGTTGAGGGATGCAGCGTGGCGTGGCAGTTAAGAGCATGGGCTTCTTAACCATATCCTGTCGAGGGTTCAGTCTTCAAACCCCTTTTGTCTGCACCCACCCTCAGTGTCCTCTCTAAAATCTCTCCCTGCCTGGATTACCCTGAGATACAGACGTCCAGTCATTACCTCTCTCTTACACTTGACATACAGCTCCCGACTCACCATCTCCACCTGGAAGCCTGGTTGGCAACTCACACTTAGCCTGCTCCACCAGCGCCTTCTCCATGTCAGTTAGGGGAACCTCCAGCCTTCTCGTTGTTCAGGCCAAAAACCTGAGTGTCTCCATGGTCCTCCCAGTCTCTCATATCCCACATCACCTCCTCAATCTCCAGCTGGAATCTGACTTCTCACCACTTCCGCCATTACCGCTTGGGTCCAGGCTGTCCTCACTTCTGGCCTGGGTTAGTGCAGCGATCTCTGACTCTCCTCCTGCCTCTTTCGTCCCTCTATGGTTTGTTCTCATCCCAGCAGCAGAACACCTGTTAGATTCTGTTCCTTTTCTGCTTGGAGCCACTCAGTGGCTTCCATCTCAGAGTCGAAAACAGGCCTCACCATCGCCTGCAGGCCCTTTGAGGTCCACCCCTGCTGATCTGGGTGAGCCCCGCTGCTGACCCCGCCGCCTCCTTCACTCTGCTCCACCACACTGTCCTTGCTGCTCTTGAACGCACCATGGGTTTGAAACAGAAAAAGTTCCCTTGTCCTCCTCACAGGGCGTGTGATGGGGGTCTGGCTTGCTTCTTGGGTGCCCCGCTTCTCAAACCTCTCAAAAAGCATACAGAAGGGCAGGCTGTGGGGCTCCAACCCCATGGCAGTGCCTAGGGGCGAACGTTTACAGCTCCGTGTGTCCCTGGGAGCTCTCTTAGTTTGTCTATAAGCGGCTTGTGCTCACCAGCTCAATTCGACCCCGTTCCTTATCACAGGTCAGAGGGCTTTCTGTAACCTGGAGTTTCTTGCCTTGATGTGCCGGAGAATCAGACCACACGTGGGCTTGGAGAATGAGTGCAGGGTTGTTTTCTTTTTTTTCCGAGACAGAGTTTCGATCTTGTTGCCCAGGCTGGAGTGCAATGGTGCCATCTCGGCTCACTGCAACCTCCGCCTCCCCGGTTCAAGTGATCCTCCTGCCTCAGTCTCCCAAGTAGCTGGGATTGCAGGTGCCTGCCACCACGCCTGGCTAATTTTTTTTTTTCATGTTTTTAGTAGAGACGGGCTTTCACTGTCTTGGCCAAGGCTGGTTTCTAACTCCTGACCTCAAGTGATCTGCCCGCCTTGGTCTCCCAAAGTGCCGGGATTATAGGTAATGAGCCACACCCGGCTGACTGCAAAGTTATTATTGAGTGGAAGTAGCTCTCAGCTGATGGGAGAGCCAGAAGGGTGATGGTCTTCCCCTGGGGTTGTGGTGGCCCCAGCTCTCCTCTGACTGCCCTAGCCAGACTCTGCCTCATCCTCTCGGTCGATGGTCTGCCAGTGTGCTGCTGCCTGTCAGTGTGTTCTTCTGCAGGGTGCTTTCCCGACGTCCTCTCAGTGACCAGCTGCTCATGTCTTCTGCTGATGTGCTCCTCTGACATCTGGCTGGCTGTGTGTCTGCCCCCTAGGGTCTCAGGGTTTTTGTTTGTTTTTTTGAGACGGAGTCTCGCTCTGTGGCCCAGGCTGGAGTGCAGTGGCTGGAACTCAGCTCACTACAATCTCTGTCTCCCAGGTTCAAGCAATTCTCCTGCCTCAGCCTCCCAAGTAGCTGGGATTACAGGCGCGTACCACCACAACTGGCTACTATTTTGCATTTTTAGTAGAGATGGGGTTTCACCGTGTTGGCCAGGATGATCTTGATCTCCTGACCTTGTGATCTGCCCACCTCAGCCTCCCAGAGTGCGGGAATTACAGGCGTGAGCCACTGTGCCTGACCAGGTCTCAGGTTTCTATAGGCACAGGATGGGGGCATGGCAGGCCAGCGGGGTGTTAGGAAATGTAACATTTGGGAGGGAAAGGTCTGTCCTCACCTAGGTCCGTGGGGGTGGAGCCCTAGCTAGGGGCCACGCCCTCCTCTACCCAGCACTTTTCTCCTTTCCTTCTGTATTTTTTTTTTTTTTTTTGAGACGGAGTTTCGCTCTTGTTACCCAGGCTGGAGTGCAATGGCGCGATCTCAGCTCACCGCAACCTCCGCCTCCTGGGTTCAGGCAATTCTCCTGCCTCAGCCTCCTGAGTAGCTGAGATTACAGGCACGTGCCACCATGCCCAGCTAGTTTTTTTAGTATTTTTAGTAGAGACGGGGTTTCACCATGTTGACCAGGATGGTCTCGATCTCTCGACCTCGTGATCCACCCGCCTCGGCCTCCCAAAGTGCTGGGATTACAGGCTTGAGGCACCGCGCCCGGCCTGGCTTGCTTGCTTTCTTACTCCCCCACCCCCACTCTGTTTAATCCAGCCCCCACCCTCTTGCCCTTGCTGTTTCCCAAGCACGTGGCTTCACCTGCAACAACACATTGTTTTGTTTGACACCCATCTCCTCCCTCTAGAAGCTCCATGCAAGCTCCAGGGGGGCAGGGACTTTTTTTGTGTTTTGCCAGCTGCCATGTTCTGGTGTCTAGCACAGAGCTTGGGCACGTAGTAGGTGCTCAGTAAATATTTGTTGAGGAACGACCGGAGTCAGACCTCTTGGATTCTTGTTCCCACCCAGCCACCCACTGGCTGTGTGATTTGGGCCTGTTACTCCCCTCCTTGTGACTTTGTTTTGTCACCAGTGTCGGGGGATAAAGCCAGGTGTAAGGTCAGGTGGTGTCCCTGGGGAAGCCCCGTCCCTTGTGCCATCAGCAGGCCAGGGACTGGACTTGTCTTTGGGGGTCAGGGTGGGGGTTTGTGCCCTTGCCTGACCTCACATGTGGCCCATAGGCCACGTTCCACTACCGGACGCTGCACAGTGATGACGAGGGCACCGTTCTGGATGACAGCCGGGCGCGAGGCAAGCCCATGGAGCTCATCATTGGCAAGAAGTTCAAGCTGCCCGTGTGGGAGACCATCGTGTGCACCATGCGTGAGGGGGAGATTGCCCAGTTCCTCTGTGACGTCAAGGTGTCCGTCCTGCACCTGTCTGTGGTGGCTGTCCAGCCACGCCCCATTCCCTGTCCCCAGGGCTCCTCCTCCCTCCACCCTTCGCTAGACTGCCACCTACTCTTTGTTTTTGAGATGGAGTGTCACTCTGTCACCCGGGCTGGAGTGTAGTGGTGTGATCTTGGCTCACTGCAACCTCCCCCTCCTGGGTTCAACCAATTCTCCTGCCTCAGTCTCCCGAGTAGCTGGGATTACAGGCACCCACCATGATGCTTGGCTAATTTTTGTATTTTTAGTAGAGACAGGGTCTCGCCATGTTGGCCAGGCTGTTCTTGAATGCCTGACCTCAGGTGATCCGCCCTCCTCAGCCTCCCAAAGTGCTGGGATTACAGGCGGGAGCCACCACGCCCGGCTCACCCACTCTTTCCAGACTACCACACCAGCCTGCTGATGGCATCCTGGCCTCCATTCCGCCCTCTCCTATTAGCCAGACTGCGGCCAGGGGACTCTTTTCTCAAATGCAAATGACTGGTACATCCCTTTGTTTCAAACCTCTGTGGCTCCTGGTCACTGTCAGGACAGAGCACAGTGAGTCCTCACTTAATGTTGCTGGAACGTTCTCGGAAACTGACTGAGAGAGAAAACATACATCAGGTTCTCAGCCACCGTCGTTTCTCTCAGCATAATTTTGTTAAAACATTGATGAGAAGAAAAACTGGTCTCGTTATGTATTGTTTGGCCTACAGCCACGGTTTCCAAGACCTACTTAGGACGTTAAGTGAGGACTTAAACTGTATAAGCTATAGCTGCTCACATAGCTTTTTGGGGGCTGGCTCCTGCCATCTCCTCTGACTCAACCTCCCTGCTTTTTCTTTGCATTCTCCTTCTTAGCCAAGATCTTCCCTCTTCCTTCAAAGCTGATTCCTGGGGCACCACTTCTAGGAAGCCCTCCCTGACTGCCAGTGGTTGGCTCAACTCCCACCTTGGGTCCTCCAGCCCTCATGCCCTGCATGGCCAGGATCTGCTGGCCAGGATCTGCCTTGTCCTAGGCTATTGACGGGCAGGGATCTGGCCTGTTTACTTCTAGCTTTGAGATGCCCAGCATGGGCCACCCCAGAGCCAAGACTCGGGAAATGCCTGCTGAATGGCAGCCCAGCAGTCAGCCTGTGTCCAGACCGCAGGGCAGTGGGAAGAGTAGGGGAGCCCTGGGTGGGAGTAATCTGGTTCCCACCAGCCTAGCAGCTTTGCCAAGCAGGAGATTAGAGGCTGGGTCCCCTATTCCCGTCTCCCTGAGGGTTTCGAAGTGGTAGGGCCCTCGGTGGAGTGTGGGTGGGGCCGGAGGAGGAGCTTCTCCCGGGAACAGAATGTGGGGCCCCAGTGCTTGGCATAGTCCAGCCTGTGGGCCTTATCCTCAGGAGGGAGAGGAGGTGAGAATTCCACCCGGCCTGTAAGGACCAGGGAGACGGGTTGATGGGAGGTGTGTGTCTGTGGTGGGGGTGGGGGTGGGGGTCGGTGCTCTGGTCGCCAGAGAAGTGGCAGAAGCTGGGGCTTCACCAAGAGAGGGCCAAGTGGCTGGAGGAGTCCTGAGGGAAAGCCTCCTGCTCGTAAACGGAGTGGGGGCCCGTTTGTCCCTCTCTGGGCCTTGGTGTTTGTTCTCAGGTGGCGATGGGGAAGGGGGGCTGGGTCTTGTGGACGCGGTGACCATCCAGCTCACAATGACAGAGCCCCTGGTGCCCTTGCCCTCCTGCAGCATGTGGTCCTGTACCCGCTGGTGGCCAAGAGTCTCCGAAACATCGCGGCAGGCAAGGACCCCCTGGAGGGCCAGCGGCACTGCTGTGGCGTCGCGCAGATGCAAGAGCACAGCTCCCTGGGTCACGCCGACCTGGACGCCCTGCAGCAGAACCCCCAGCCCCTCATCTTCCACATGGAGATGCTGAAGGTGAGGGGCACCGCCCCCACTGCCCAGCCTCAGGGTGCTGGCCTGTCTGCCCAGGGGTGGTGGGATCCGTGGGTGGACTGCTGGGGGAGCGGACAGGGACAAGAAAGCCTGTATGGGACCCTTGGCAGCCCCCCAGTCTCCTTTCCTCCTCCTTCATGTCTCAAATATCACCTCCTCCAGGAAGCTGGCCCTGCCTATCCAACCTCCTGGTTCTCTGTCTTTTAGAGGCTTATTTTCTTCCCAGCTTCGCCGCGTCTTGAAGTCCCTGGGAATTTGTGTATTTCCTTGTCCGTTTAGGGAATCTGCCCATGGAGCACGATTTCTGCGAGGGCAGGGTTTTCACCGTCTCGTTTACTGTTCTATTCTTAGCACTGGGCACAGTGCCGGGCACACAGGAGATGTGACATCGATGTTTGTGGAATGCTTTTTTTTTTTTTTTTTTTTTTTTTTAAAGATAGAGTTTCTTTCGCTCTTGTTGCCCCAGGCTGGAGTGCGATGGCGCAATCTCAGCTCACTGCAACCTCTGCCTCCTGGGATCAAGCGATTCTTCTGCCTCAGCCTCCTGAATAGCTGGGATTACAGGCATGCGCCACCACACCTGGCTAATTTTAGATTTTTAGTAGAGATGGGTTTTCGCCATGTCGGTCAGGCTGGTCTTGAACTCCCGACCTCAGGTGATCCACTCGCCTCGGCTTCCCAAAGTGATGGGATTACAGGCCTGAGCCACTGCACCGGGCCCGAATGCTATTTGAGTAACAGGCGGCCGTGCTGCTGCTGTGTGCTGATCGGGTGCCCAGCCAGCCCAGATGCTGGTCAGGTCTGCCGCTGAAGCAGCTGTGGTATTCCGAAGTCCTACTGTAATATGCCCCATGCCCTGCAGGTGGAGAGCCCTGGCACATACCAGCAGGACCCATGGGCCATGACGGATGAAGAAAAGGCAAAGGCAGTGCCGCTTATCCACCAGGAGGGCAACCGGTTGTACCGTGAGGGACACGTGAAGGAGGCTGCCGCCAAGTACTACGATGCCATTGCCTGCCTCAAGAACCTGCAGATGAAGGTGCTGCCTGGAGGCTGAGCGGGAGGATGGGGGGGGTGCGGAGCCAGGGGGCCCAGGTCTCCAGCTTCTCCCTGCTCCCATACTGCCAGGAACAGCCCGGGTCCTCTGACTGGATCCAGCTGGACCAGCAGATCACGCCGCTGCTGCTCAACTACTGCCAGTGCAAGCTGGTGGCCAAGGAGTACTACGAGGTGCTGGACCACTGCTCCTCCATTCTCAACAAGTATGACGGTGAGCGCCAGGCTGCCGGGGCTGCGAGTGCTCAGAGAGTCGCCTTTCTCCCGTCACTGCTGGGGCTCACGACCTAGGCTTTCACACCCCCCATTCTGAGCTCCCACGGGGGCGTGACTAAATGCGCCGCCTCGGCGGGGCTATGGGCCCCATCTTGCCAATGAAGCATGAATGGTGGATTGGGGCTGGCATGGGGTGGCATCCTCAGGTCAGGGAGGGTTCTCTCCCCTGTGGGCCCATGGTGCCAGGAGACGTGAGGCCAGGTAGCTGGCCAGGATCCCCCCTCATGCCCTTGCATGCCGTTGCCCACGGGCATCCCCTGCAGACAACGTCAAGGCCTACTTCAAGCGGGGCAAGGCCCACGCGGCCGTGTGGAACGCCCGGGAGGCCCAGGCTGACTTTGCCAAAGTGCTGGAGCTGGACCCGGCCCTGGCGCCCGTTGTGAGCCGAGAGCTGCGGGCCCTGGAGGCTCGGGTCCGGCAGAAGGACGAAGAGGACAAGGCCCGCTTCCGGGGCATCTTCTCTCATTGACAGGAGCGCTCGGCCCCACCTCACCTGCCAAGCCGCAGCTACCGCTGCCAGCCCTCCTGCTCCCGCTCCGTCTTGCTTCTGTGTATATAAAAACCTTTATTTATCTCTCTCTGAGTCTGCCGAGCTGGTCCACTGGGAGAGCTGGGTCATCACCTGGCATTTTCTGGTACTTGGGTGGCCGTCAGGAGGCAGAGAATCAGGGTTCAAATCCTAGCCCCCCACCTGTCAGCTCTGGGGCTTCAGTGTCCCTGTTAGAGAAATTATGACGATGGGCTCTTTCACCAAGGTAGGGGGAAGTGTCCCTTGCTGGCCAGGGCTGGGGTGCCCCGGGAGCCTCCTGTCTTAAGGTGAAGATGAAGTGGGTACAGGCCAGGGAGCTGGGCGCCTGAGGTGGTCTCCTGGTGCTGTCCTCCCCTTCCAGCCTTGGATCCCATGGTCTCCTGGCCTCGGTGTCTGGGGACAGGGTTTCCATGAGAAGCCATACTGGGGCCAAGGTAAGCAGGGTCGGGCTGGGGTGGGCAGACTGTCCAGGAAGAGAGGGTGAGACCTTTTGAGGGCCAGGCCCCCACCCTGAACTGCCCATGACCTGGATGGCCCTGGGCTCATGCTTTGTGACACCTTTTGAAGGCCAGGCCCTCATCCTGACCCTGCCTGTGACCTGGATGGTCCTGGGTGCGTGTCGGCCTCTCCATGCACATTGGTGTCCCCTATTGAACTGGAAACTGGGCTGGCTGCCCTGTGGTGCCCGGCACAGGGCGAGTGGGTGGGATGCAGGTGGCGTTTATTTTCGTGAATTTATACACACTGGAAAAGCCTCTGTGCCTATGCCCACGGCCTCCTCCCTCCCCCCGGCGCTGGGTCCCCTCATGTGAAAGGGAAGTAACACCGAGGGGCACATGGCAATGCAGGGTATGGGGCTGGGGGGCCAGCACTGGGGCCAAAAGTCTGGGCCCCCAGCCTCCCACAGACAGCCTCTTGGACCCCTCAGGTGTGTCAATAAATAATCCAGGTCCTGGTGTGGTGTGGGCCTCACTCCTCGCTGTCCAGCTTCAGGCTGATGCTCCGTGCCTTACCCCTTGCCAGGGTGGTGGGCGGTGTTCCTGGGCCCTCACGCTCCACCTGGCTGGGGCCCCTGGAGCGAAGCAGCTGGCTCTGTTTGCGCAGGAAGTCCACAGGGGCGGCCACGCCATAGCTGCTCTTGGCCAAGGCAGTCCTCGGAGGTCCGGAGGAGGCATGCGAGTGCGAGCCCGCTTCCAGCTGGCCCAGGTGTGCCACGTAGCCATCTGACAGGAACTGTGGGCACAGGTGGGCAGGGATGAGGGGGTGCTGGCCAGGGGCCCACATGCTGCCCTCCCCGGTCCTCCAGAGGCACCTGAGGCAGGCTGGGGGACTGGTGGCAGGCTCCGCGCAGCCGAAGGCGAAGCCTTCTCAATAGATAGGACCCCAGGCTGGGAGCCAGGGCACCTCAGCTGTGCTCCCACCTCTGCCCTTCTCTGGGCCTCATTCTCCTCATCTGGAAAATGGGTCGTAGAGGAAAAATACCAGCAACCAGTGTTTAGCCAGCACTTGCTTTGTGCCCAGCTCTGTGCCTGTTGATGTGTAGTAAATGATGTGATCTTTATAAGCTGACATGGGCAGTGCCATGATCATTCCATTTACAGACGGGAAGGTGAGGCTCAGAAAGGTCAGACCCTTGCCCAAAGCCATGGTGGAGTGGAAGCAGCGCCCAGGATTTTCAGCACACCGCAGCATGGGTTGTCCCCTCTGGCCTGCCTGGCAGCCAGTAGCTCAAGCTGCTCATGGCCCTTGTCCTAGGAGGATCCCGGGTTCCCCAGAGGCCGGTGAGGCCTTTTCCCAGCTGCCCCAGCGCAGGTGGTTCCTAAGGCCTGGGTCTCAGGCTCCTGCCCCCTGAGGTCCTGTTCCAGGCCATCACTGGTCCCTCACCTGGCACTGCGCTTGTAGCTTTCGCACCGCGCGGCCCACGATGTAGGTCTGGCTGGGGGACAGGCCCAGCGCCGCATATACAGCCACGTCTTTGGGAGACCCATAACCTGCCACGATGTTCAGTTCTACCTGTGGCGGGAGATGCCAATCAGCTGTCCCAGGGGCGGAGCCATGCAACTGGGGGCGGGGTCTGTTGGGCTTCCCCAGATTGTTCTGAGCGTGGGGCCAGGTAGATGGAGGCGAGGACAGGTCCCAGTGCCGGGGGAACAGGGGCGGGAGCAGCTGCATCTCCCTAGTTGCCCTTAAGTACCTGGGACCCCTCGAACTAGGCGGGCAGGACCATAGGGGCCGCTGCAGTCGGGCAGGGCCTGGGCCGATGGGGTGGGGCCAGATGGGCTTCGGCTGGCGGTGAGGGGAAGGAGAAGCGGGGCGGGGTCAGGACCCACAGCCTCCCCAGCCGCCGCACCTCCTGCACCAGGCTCTGCAGAAACATTGCCTTCTGGCGCAGCGGGTCGTGGGTGAGGCCGTCGCAGAAGGAGACGACTCCGTGGGGGAAGTTGTGCTGCGACAGCCAGGCCACCACTCGGTGCTTCTGCATATCTGGCCGGCCCGTGACGTACACGATCAGGTAGCCCGCGTCCTGCCAGTGCCTGCGGGGTGGGGCAGCGGTCAGCTCCGCCGGCCGGGGTGGGGCGCCGGTCACCCCGGTGAGCTGGGTGGTGGTGGCGGTGGCGGCTCCTACCTGACCACATCCACGGCGCCAGCGCGCACCTTGGGGTCGCTGCCCATGATGGAGACGCTCGCGGTGAAGGAGCCGTCGATGCTGAAGACCACGGCCTCCGTGCCGCGGGCCACCACAGTCAGGCAGCATTCGGCGTAGGTGTGGTCGCCCCTGCGGCCCACGGGGCGGGGCGTGAGTGGCGCGGGGCAAGGCGTGGTGGAGCCCTCCCGCAGAGGCCCGGCCAGCCGCGCTCACCTGACCACCATGCGCACCGGGTAGACACCGATGCCCAGCGTGCGCTCTGGGGGAACTGGGAAGGTGAGACGGCCCGAGCTGTTGGTGACCTCGGTGCCAAAGTGGATCCACTTGCCCGACAGGGGCTGCGTCATGATGTAGACATCCACCTGGAAGGGGGACGGTGCGGGAGGTCCATGGGGGCCCCGTGTGGAGGAGGGCAGAGGCAGGGCTGTCAGGGATGGGTGGGTCTAGGAGCTCAACGATCAGGGACCTGGAGCTGTTCCAAGGACAGAAGGTGGGGCCGTGAGACCAGGGGGCCAGGGCCTCTGGGTCCTGACCTTCTCTCCTGTGAGCGTGACCACGTCCAGGGGCCCGTACATGAAGCGCCCGCTCAGCACCTGGGGGCGGCCCTCGCACACCACAGTGTCACTAGCCCGGTGGTTGGAAGTGACGTTCTGTTAGGAGGAGAAGGCGTGAGTCAGCGGCCAGGATAGGATGGGGATGCTTGGGGAAGGAGCGGGTGAGTCCACGTGCACACATCGGGGTCAGATCCTCGCGCGCACACACACCGGGGGTTGGGGCCTGAGGCCACAGGGTACTGAGGGCAAAGGGTGAAGGGGGATGGGGCGGGGAGGGAGGGAAAGGGGAGGCACACTTTCGTGGACCCAGGCCTGAGATCCTGTGCGTGGGCTGCGGTTCCAGGGGCAGGGCAGTGACAGGATGGGATGCAGAGGATGAGGCCAGGTGAGGACCAGCACAGATCCAGACCCCAGACCCCAATGTGTGCAGAGGGCTGGGAGGGGTGGGGAGACCAGCGGTTCCCAGGGCCGGGGCTGGGACAATGAGGTGGGCCAGGACCCCAGGGGCGGGGCTGGACTGGGAGAGAGTTGGGCCGGCTTGGCCCTGCCCTGAGGGGGCGGAGTGGTAGGGGGAAGAGGCAGGGCCTCGAGGGAGAGGGGGTGAGCGGCAGGGCACTTACCCGGATCTTGACCTGTGTGCGTTTTCGCTGCCATTTCTCCCTGGGGAAGGCAGGGCTGTAGATGGAGGGCTCCTCGCATTCCGCCACCTGTGGCCGCTCCTTCTCGATCACCTGGGAGGGCCAGCGGGCAAGGCCTTGTTGAGGGGGGGACTACCTCTCCCCAGGCCCACAGTAGTCCATCCTCCTCCCATTCTCATCTCCCATTCCATATTCCCAGGCCCACCTGGCGTAGGATGAACGCCACCACGTCGGCAGACTCCCAGTAGCTGGCGTGGAAGAGGTGGGGCAGCGTGACGGTGGGAAAGGCGGTGAGCGCCTCGGGGCAGTACAGCGAGTAGTCAATCCGCTTGGTCCCCCACCAGCGCTCCAGGACTGCGAGGCAATGGGCAGCGAGTCAAGATGGCCTCCTGCCCCGTACCCATCTGCCTGGGGGCTTGGTGCTCCTCCCTCCCTTTCACTCAGCCTGCTCTTTGCCAAGTCCAGGCTGGGTGCTGGGTGCTGGGTGCTGGGTGAAAGGGTTTCTCGGCTGGGCTTGGTAGGTGCTATCCGGACCTCCCCCACCCACAGGCTGGACTGCCCAGGCTGTCTTAACTTACTCTTAACCACCTCACTGGTGGTGCTGGGGACGGCTGGCTGGGCTGGGGGCTCAGTGCCTAACTCACTGCCCTTCCAGAAGGCACCGCTAGTAGAGGTGGGTGTTGACGGCACCAACATCTCCAGCTCCTCCAGAAAGAGGCTGGAGTGCGTCTGCAGAGTGTCAGCTGGGAGAGGGAGGGTAAGCTCAGCAGGGGCCAGCTGGGTGGCTCCCCTGTCTTCTCACCTGGGGATCCCCGCACCTTCGCCATCTTCCCTGTGGTGCCAGGACCTGGCTGAGGCTGCACTGTGGCATTCTCTCCCCTCAGCTAGACCAGTGGCCAGCTGCATTCCTGCCAGAATGCCTGTTGCCACTGCCCCAAACAGTACACACCTGTGCCCAACACAGGCCCGCTTGGCCCTTGCATACCTGGGCATGCCCCCTAATACATGCCTGCCGTGCACCCCCACAGACGCAGCAGGACACACACACTGGCTGCTGGCACAGCAGTGCACCAGCAGCATGCTGCCAGGGGCCACCCTAGCTTGGCCCAGATGGTGAGAGGATCCTGGGGATCCAGACCCCCACAGGGGAAGGGGCTCCTGGTCCTGGGAGTGGTGGCCTGAGAGGTTTCCCATATTGTGGGAGCTGCCT